CTTCAGTCTCAGGCAGGCAGGGCTAGGCTGCCAGCGTGTAGGAGCTGGAAGGGTTCTGCACCTTCATATCACAGCCGTGTGCAGGTCGCTGCTGTGTTCGCTTTGCCTGTCCTACGGAGGCCCCAAGTGCAAGTTCACTGGAAGTTCCTGGCCGGCTTCTGGAGGCTGCCCTGGGTGAGGGCTAGTCTCCTCCCCTTCTCGGGGAGGGGGTGTGCCACCTACCATGGTCCTCCTCAGGACGGAGATGGTCCCCACCAAAAGAGCACAAGCTCCTGGCTAGAGCAGGGAGCACCAGGCTCCTGTGTGGGGCTGGCTCCGGTCCAGCCAGAGCCGGAGGCCTCAGCCAGTCTAGCTGCCATCGTGATGTGGGAAAGTGGAGGCCAGAGCTTGGGGAGCACCAGGAGAAGAGGACTTCAGAGAACCAGGGCCAGGCGGAGGAAGGCCCCCGGCCAGGACGTCACGGTGCAGGTCACGGAGCCACTGTCTCGCTCTCATTCTGGGTGGGCCTATTGAGCAGCTCGAACGTATCTTCCACCACCTGCCACAGGCAGTTGTCCTGCGGGAACTCATTGTCCACCAGGTTGACCAGGAAGTAGTTGTCATGGATGTACTGGATGATCATGCGGGACGGGGACTCCTCCTCATACAGCTTGCCCCACTGCTCAATCCACAGGGCGAAGGCCTCATCCTACACACACCCACATGCACACATGGACACACACATACAAGGGCCAGGTTAACAGGGCTGCCTCAGGTCAGAGCTCTGTGCTCAGCACTCCAAGCTGCCCACAGGATATTGCTAAGAATAGAACAAGGCCCACTGCCAGGGCCACTGCCCCCCCAAGTCTTGAAATAAATACCATGTGTAAACACAGGTGGGAGGGGGGCTGGAAGGCTGAGTCTGCACGCCCAGGGCTGTGGCCTCCAGTCACACACTTGGACCCAGCAATACTGCCTCCCCAGGGTTTTCGGCCATGCTGGGCTCCTTTACCTTCCAGAACATGAAGCTGACAGGATCTACCACCGTGGGCTGGATGATCTCTCGCCCAGGAAAGATGCCCCATGTGACAGCGTTGGGCTGCAGCTCTGGGGCATTGGTGATGTTTTCACCCTGGGAGGAAGCGAGGTGGGGGTGAGAGCAGACCCAAGGCAAACAGGTGTTCTCCCACTGCCTGGACCACCTCAGCTCACTAGGACGCTAGGCTCAGTACCTTCACACGCACACCCACCTGCCCCTCCAAGCCCTGCATATCTATGAATGGCAACAGCTCTCCACAGGAGCCTGGACCCAAGGTCACCCTGAGTGAGTGCTTTCTCCCCCCAGTGCTCCAATCAGCCATCCCTGGCTCCGACGTTCTTTGTCCCCACTTACACAGTCCCCAGCGGGGCCCATCTTCCACCTGGATTTACGGGCCTGTTCACATGGCCTTCCTGGCTCACGTCCTCTCCTACGACTGCCTAAAATAAGAGCCAGGCCACTCCACTGCAGGAAAAAGGTTCCCTGTGCCTTCTGGGAAAACTCAAAGTCCAAGCAAGATAGTTAAAGGCCCTACAGGCCAGGCCAGCGTAACACTTCTCCCCCCTTCCCAGCTTCCCCACGTGGTGCAGCCCGATGCCTCTGTCCTTTCCGTGGAATGCCCTTCTCTCCTGTTGGCCCACTCCTCTTTGTCCTTAAAGATTCAGGCCCCACATGACCCTTCCTCCAAGAAGCCTTCCCAGACCTCCCAAGTTAGAGGTCCCTCCTCTGGATCCTGCATGTCCTCTCCTGAAGTGACTTTCCTGCTTACACTGACTGGCAACTATCCACTTATATTCGCCTCCCTCACTAGGCTGGGAGCTCTCTGAGAGCAGGGGCCTGGTTCATTCGTATCTCTCTGCCTTGCACAGGATGCCTGCCCTGGGCTAGCAGGTTGGCGAATGCTGAATGAGGGAATGAAATCGGGTGCCCTCGGGCCTTAGCACAGCACGCTGGCCCTTCGGAGCGCTGCCTGCACCCGGCGCACTGGCCTACCTTCACGTCGACAATGTGGTAATTCACCCGCAGCTCATACTTCTTCAGCACTTGCAGGAGCGCTTCCACGGTCTCGCGGGAAGTGAAGAACTCTAAGTAGGCCTGGGGAGACAGGTGCCTGTCACACCCACCCGAGTTCCTTGCTAGACCCCTTTGTGCATGCAGCCAAGGTGCTCTGTGTGTTCCCCAGCATCGGGCAGACGTCTGCCCTCCTGACCACCCCAGGGAGGGATCCACACTGACACACGCGGCATTGGGGCGAGGGGTGGCCACGCGGGGAATCATGAAGTGTAGAGTTGACAAATCATTAGCAAAGGCTGAGGGGGGCAGGTACATGAGATTTCTCAGTCTGGAAGGTCTGAGGGTATCTGCCACACACCCCCCCAATCTAACTGGGAAGGCCCCACGGAGAAGGCCCTTCGGAGCTATGCAGATCCAGCCAGTGTGACAAGCTTACACCTGCCATGTCCCACCCTCCATCACTGGGTGTCAATGACACTGACATCTCTAGCTACCAGCATCTACCCAGGCTTAAGCTGGATGTATTTAAATTTGGCCTGGCCACGTGGCACAGGTGGCAGCATGCACCTGGCAATACCAGAGACACAGGGAAGATAGGAGCTTGGATCCTGGGTGAACTGAAACATGCAGCAGGTGCATGCCCTCAGCTGGACGGCAGAGGTGGCTGGGGAACATGGCACAATGCGACCCCATCAGGGATACCTGTCTCTCTCATGTGAATAAGATCAAATCAAACTGACTTGCTGGAATGTTCATAATACTTCAACGTGGGCACTATCATGTCCAGATGAAGAAACTCGGTTCTGGAGAGCCGAGCAAGTCGGGATACTGACAATAGATGGCGCAGCTGGACTGTATAGCCAGGTCTTTGTGACTTCAGAGTCCATGGTTTTAGTTCAGAACCCCAGCAGTCCTAGAAGAGCCGTCAACTCAGAACGGAACAGCACCCGCTTAGTGAACGCTTCCTGTGTTCTTCCCATGTGCTAAGCGCTTAATAAGCTTTTCGTATTTCATGACACATCCCATTTGGCAGATAAGAAAACCGAGGCGCAGAGAGGTCAAGCGACCAGCCTGCCCAAGTCTGTCTGATTTAGAGTGTGACCACCCGTTTACTCTGATCTGCTGTCTTCAAAATAAAGTGCCCAGGAGAGAAAGGCTGGTGTCCCAGCCTGGGGAACCCTTGGGTGCTGCTCATGGTGGGGAAGCCCTGTGCACCCCTACCACACCTTCTGGAAGACATAGCCCCCGCTGGGGCCCCAGCCCACGATGGGGTCAGAGGACGGCTTCCCATTGATGTTGGGCTGGGAGTTGATGGTGAGGATGCCCTGCCGATTCACCCGCAGCAACTCCTCCTTCATCAGGCTGGTCTCGGCTGCCAAGGGCTCATCATTCCAGGGCAGGCAAGTCACCTGGGAGAGAGGGTGAGTCGGGCTAGGGCGACGATGAGGTCTGGTGCCCTGGGTTGCTCCCGCTCAGTCAGTCCCCATCAGAGACTCAGCCTGTCCTTGCCTGTAAGCCTCTTGCAGGTAGGGACTTCCCAAGTCACCCTTCTCTGCTGAGGTCCACAACAAGGAGAGGAGGTAACTCAGGGTGGGGAAGTCACAGCCTCGGTCTGTCCAGTCTGACCCACAGCAGAAGACAGGGCGGGGTGTAACCTGGAAGCCCACCCGTCCCACTCACTTTGTAGCCCTGCTGGTTCGGCTCTCCAGAGAGGTAGTGGGCAAAGACTTCAAAGACACTCTCTTCACTAGCCAGCTCCTCCCCCCACATCTTCAGCAGCTCTTCCTTGGGGGACTTGCTTTTCAGGTAGAAGAGGTAGTAGTCCTTGAGCTCTCCAAAGGCTGGGGAGGACGAATTGCCCCTAGCAGAGGAGGCACTGGAGGTCAGGGCACGCTCTGGTGTTGCCGCCACACCCCAGGAGGCCATTCCGATAAATCCCACCCGATTCCTCCCTGGGGACTGCCACAGCTTGCAAACTCTTTCCGTACTCTCCTCCCAAGAACTAGGGGTTGTTTTTGTGAGGAACGTCACAGGCCCTCACCAGCGGCCATTGGGGAACTCATCCCACTCTTGGGTGCGGTAAATGTAACTCTTCGGTCTGGAGGCCCAGAAGATGGGACGTACATCTTCTTCCCGGCGCTTGGGGTGGGCACTGACAGCCCAGGGCAGGGGACGCCTGGGTGAGAACAGAGACAAGGACAAGAGATGGGCCAGTGAATGGAAGGAGGGGGGTGGTGACAAGCTTGGGCTTTTCTTACAAACCCCCACTGCATGTGGAGGGCCCGATGCGCCTGAGGCCCTTCGTGTGCCCCAGCAGCCTAGCCACGACAGACACCCCTCTGTGCCACCACAGGGAGCAGTCCTGCACTCATGTCTGCCTCAGACGGTCCTCTGAGGCCCCCTGGTCCACAGCCCTCACCTAGGGTCCTCAGTCCACATGCCCAGGCGCTTCAGCACCTCAGTGGTGGCCATCTCGCGATTGAGGGTGTAGAAGTGGAGGCCTGGCACCAAGCCGCTGGCCAGGAGCTCCTGGCACAGGCTCACAGCCAGCTCAATGCCGTAGTTGCGGATGGCAGCATCGTTGTCTTTGATCGGCTCAATCACGTCCTTGATCTCCTGCGGCACCTCCAGCTTGGACAGCTTCACAAGCTGCCGGAGGGAGTGGTAGCCCTGTCCAAGACACGAGGGGGCTGTCGGGACCATCTGCCACTAGATACTCCTTCCCCGCCCAGTGTCATGCAGAGTGACCAGGACAGTGAGGCCATATTGTAGGAGCTCGCTAGCCTCGTCCTGCTTTTCCATTCTGCAGAACACAGCGGCTGGCGCCACACATT